TCCATTTACGTGGAAAGGTATTTTTAAGAAACAATGAATAAGAAGAGCATTTTCAACAAAAGGGACTCCTTCTTCATCGCTTTTTTCATCACTGAAGGTCGTGTCCTTGGAACTTGACCGTGACGTTTCTCGTGAGATGTTTCCATCTCGGTCGGGTCTCAGCTTCTAGAATGGCGGTTGCGACTGGCACACCATGCGATCTGGACTCGACACGCCGTCTGGTGGTAGCCTGATCGCTTACAGTTTCATTTTGTACTTGGTCCACTTTCGTAGGATTACTTACTCGACGTAAGGTTCGCTGCGAGTAGGTGGGAGTGGAGATTGGAGTGGAGAGGCTAAGTGGTAGTTCTTGTTATACAGCCATATATTGCGCATCACACATCCTAGAAGCCCAAAAGGGATAGCAACTCATAATTTTAAGATAATCGACAAATTTAATTGGCAAAGTGTACGGGTTCCGTATTCGATCCGTATCTTTTTATTTAACGGAACCACTAAGAGGAGATAAATAAAAGCAAATTAATAATAATAAAAACTATGAGTGACATAATTATGTGTACATAGGTAGTGATAAAAATATATTAGTAATAATGATTGTAAATTAAATCGATGATACATTTTGAATTTAAAAACTTGATACGTTCATGCCTACGGATCTTTTAACCGTGAATACGTACATAACAGTTGACATCCTTAGGTATGCCTCACAGAAGAAACTCAATCCCTCATTTATATGAAAGAGCTCAGTTTTTAACATAGCTAGCTCACAGACAACAGAATAAACAATGTAGCGTAGATTGCTTTAGTGTAGGAGACGTGCAAACAATATCATTCACAATATTATATTACAATTTGAACGCGAAGAACCCGGATAAAAGAAATTGTCTTCTAACCTATTTTGCCTCCTACTGTTTTATGTCCATCGTATAGACAATGTGTCGTTAAATAAAAAAAATAGGAAAAAATATATATCTAGATAATATTGATTTTTTAACACGCTCTTTTAAAGTTGGTTTGTTTAGTTTAAGGTAGTTTATAGTTAGCTAAATCTTTAAAAACGTTTTCGCCGACTTTAGGGCGTCCATGTTTCCCACACTTCAAGCACATAAGAATTTCAATTGAATGTGGAGATATTATTTTGTACATATATGTATAAGGCCAATAACACTTTGCGCTCGGCTTCATCCAATCAATCAGCTTCTGTTGTGTATTAATGTTACACTGCAATTCAGATTTTTTTTTTTTTTTCACGTAACGCTAGGCTGGTAGAGATTTCTTGAAGCGATAAGATCACGATCAGAAGATAAGCTTTTATAAATTATTTCATGTTTCTTCTTCTTTAGTATATAAGCATATTCTACTGTATTTTTCCGGTTGGTTAACGTCTATGACATGTCTAAGGATTTTATCCCAGTTCTTCAGACTCACCATTTATCTATCAGCTCTTACAAATTTTGGCTGGAAGAGATTTCTTTAAACGATAAGATCACGATCAGAAGATCAGAAGCTCTTATAAATTATTTCATCTGTTTCTTCTTCTTCAGTCTGTGTATATAAGTAGATTCTACTGTATTTTTCCAGTTGGTTAATGTGTATGACATGTTTTTTTTTTTTTTTTTTTTATTGCCCTTGTAGGCAGACGAGCATACGGCCCACCTGATGGTGAGTGGTTACCGTCGCCCATGGACTTCAGCAATGCCAGGGGCAGAGCCAAGCCGCTGCCTACCGCGAATTTTATTAAGTCTAAAGATCTAAAGTCTAAAGATTTTATCCCGGTTCTTCAGACTCACCATTTACTAGCTGTTACAATTTTGCGGAGCTACCTACATGTAGAGCTCGAAAATATCGCATAAATGCTTTATAGATTTTATATGACAGCTTCACGGTTTACCATCTCATAACCACAACGTCATGCAGATACACCCAACTTCAGGCATTGTTATGCATATTTTCACGCCCTAGATTCTTGACCCGCAATATACACATTGTAAGACATCCCTTATACCATAAATATCGTTCTAACAAAGTCATCGCTGTGTTGCAGTAAAAGAAGCATTTATTACTACTTCTAAACATTGGTTTGCATATTACTGTAATTTTTAAATCTCTATACAAAGTCTATACAAAGTGATCTCAATCTTTTTTAATATTAATCACTCCGGTGTACTTGTTTCGAATTATTTGCGCAGGGTTCAAGTCCCACCTCTCGACCGGGCATCCGTAAATGAATTCCCCAGCGTTAAAAAAAAAAAAAAAGTTCAAGTCCCACAGGTTTATTCTTATTTAATAGTTTTGCTATTTTGTGTAATTAATGATGATATGGCGAACCCGCAAGAGTGTGGGTAGACCATGCTCTTACAATTTCCAGAGGTGAAAGGCTATTTAGTTTAAGCGACATTTTAGGAACTTTACAAAAAACTTCTTCAGCTATTTGAATGGTATAAACATAGTTGAAGTTCGATTAAAAACATCGAACTGTTGATGCTAATACCTTTAACCTCTAATACCTTTAAAATACCTTTTTTTTTGTCAGTAGGAAATCACCAGACAGGGGCATGTCGGAGTTGAACCGACTAAAACCTCCTTTCGCTCAACATCCAACGTCAAAACCTCGCATGAGACAGAACTCATGAAAAGGCAAAGGGAGGAAAGTGAAGCGTTTAGTGCGGAGCACATCTCTCCCATCACCCTCTCCCTTTTTAAAATACCCTCCCCCTTTTTAAAATACCTAATACCTTTACCTTTAAAATAACTTACCTTTAAAAACGGACCTTTAATATAATTAATTGTAATTAAAGGTTCGTTTTATTCGTGTACTAAATGTCGTTTAAACCATATAGCTTTTCACCCCTCGATATGGTTCTACCATATTTACTACCTCTGTCTGTTGCAAAGCTCATGAAACCTGTGACTACCCGTCCAACCTTATCCTATATTATATATAATATAACACGGGACTTTGTACATGTTTAGTAATGTACGAGTATCTACCGTGTTATAGGAGGGTTACCTGTATTACTGTAACTATATTAGGTAATTTCTAAATAAGTCATACTAATCTATAAATCTATACTACACATCTATACTAATATATAAATCTACAGTGGTTTTTAAGGATGTTCCGTTATAACTACTGAACCATGCATCCGATTGACTTGAAACTTGGTATCCACATAGAAAATACATGTATTTAATGGATAGGCTAACAAATATTTATTTGAGTGTTGGACTCCCTAATAATAATGACAATAAATAATAATGTTAATTTTAAATACTCAGCGAAGCGGGCGAGTACGACTAGTTATTTATAAAAATCTAAAAAAAATACACAATCAATATATGTTTTATTAGAAACATCAGCGTTTAATAGGAGCGGCGCGAGTTTGCCGCCTCTAAATTGATTTTAAATGGTAGACGATGCAAACAGCGTGTATGTATGTACATGTAATGTTTAGTTCGCTCTTAATTGAGGATCGAGTCCATGATTTGCAATTTTCAGTAGCCTCGAACTTATATTACAGTTACATTTTCTTTCAACGGATGTAAATCAATCTTGCATATTATTATGTACATATTTGTCGTTTGAAACTTGGATAACACACAAAATTGTTTTTTGGTACTGTGGTTACTTTGTGAAATAAAAAGACGCGCCGTTTAACTATGTACCGTACCGTACCGGTAAATACTTCCCATACCATATTTTCGAAATGGTGAATTACGTAAATTAAACATTACCAGATGAATGACCGAGCTTCGTTCGGTTTTTTTTTTGATATCGCCATCTTGTTGTGTCTTTAAAGCGGTTAGTTGCCCGCAATTAAGAAAAATAGTATTGTTATTCACCAATAGATGTCGGGAAGAGTTGATTATTGAAAACACGAATAAAACAACATTTTCTGAAAAAAAAATCGTAGCTAGATCGATTTATCACCCCCGAAATCCCCTGTATACTAAATTATATGAAAATCGTTGGAACCGTTTCCGAGATTCAGATTATATATATATTAATATACCAGAATTGCTCGTTTAAAGGTATAAGATTATAATTTAGAAATTGACATTTTTTACTTAATTTTTTTTTTATATTCTCAAGGTCACCGCTGTGAACTCGTCAATATTTGGCACGCATAATGTCGCTTAGGCCGCACGGAAACTGAAATACTAGGTTAGTATATAGTAGTAAGACCGTTAGTATATTATTTTTAGTAAGCTGTTATTTACCTATCTGATAAAAGCCCTAATATTTATTTTGAAAGTTTATTCTTTTATTTCGTTGTTGCTATCCAAATGTTATTTATTAAATAGAAGCAAATCATGCAACGCATAAGCGAATCAGAACAAGAAGAAATAATATATTAATATCACACAAGAACCTTTGTGCATAACAATAATTGTTTTAGAACGTTTTAACTGAATTAAAAAAGTATAATAAAAATAGAAACCAATTAATGTTGAAATTGAACGCATAGAAGACGACGATAGTCTGGGGGAATGAAAACTATCGTTTTCAATTTCACTACAGAGCATTTACATAATCCGAACCTACATCAAATATATTGTACAGTTCTATGTATCTATAAGTATATATGTATATAAAAATGAATTGCTGTTCGTTAGTCTCGCTAAAACTCGAGAACGGCTGGACCGATTTGGCTAATTTTGGTCTTGAATTATTTGTGGAAGTCCAGAGAAGGTTTAAGAGGTAAATAAATATGAAAATGCTCGGAATTAAATAAAAATAACAATTTTGTTTTTCCTTTGATGTGTCCCACGTCGCCGCGTCGGACGGATTCCTTTTGTTTGTTTTAAGTTTATTTTATATAGAAGTTTAGGTATTTTATTTATCGATTGAGGCACTAGGAAGTCTGCCGGGTCAGCTAGTTGCTAAATAATTATTCATGCGAATGTCGTGCGCACTTCAATTCCAGCCTCACTCAGCTTCGTTAATAATTGATGTATTATGTACTAGCTGGAGCGTCCCATAAATACAATCACTTGCGTTCATTTAGAGCAAAACAAGTCCTGGCACTAAACGTTCAGTACAAATATCAGGGAACCTCTGCGGGAAGCGGACCTATTGAAATAACTGCGCAGTTCGCGTCCTGAAAATGGCAAATAAGAAAAAGAAATCGAAGTAAGTCTTCAAATATCGTATTTAAAACAAATGCGTTCTATGTTTTTGAAACATTCGATTAGCTATTTGCTTTTTTGTTTATATGTAATGAATGCGTAAATCATGTGTCCTATTTTTGTGTTTCGCAAATGGTATGAGTCTTATGAAATGTAGCAGCGCGTTTTCTACCCTTTCATTTCAACTTAATGTGTTTTAGTCGCCAGTCGCCATTGATTTATAAAAATTGCAGGAATGAAGAAAACATCACGACGCTGGTGTCCTTCTTTCAAATCGTAAGTATCGGCATTTCGAATATTCATAAAAGGAATAAAGCTTAATTCATTATAAAAATAAGGAAAATGTTTTTTTTTTCTATTGACAATCTGCCTTGTTAGTTTCTTAATAACATTTATTTACAATAACAATGCAACTCTGCTGTAGCGTAATCACGTTTCTCTTTTTTCCCAATGGTTTGAGCAAAATGACTTTCATACATATTTAATTAATTAAATTCTAAATAAGCGATTCCTGATACCAAATATTTTCCAGATCAAGTTAAATAAATAAATAAATTACATAATATTATTTGACCCTATAGGCAATTTAAATTAATATTAGGAGTGCTTTATTGTGAATTGGGTTTCCCATCTTGGCATTGTTTTTGGGTTTGACCTGAAATTGATTGGTCCAACGTTATGTTACGTTAAAAGATAATACAACATTATGTTACAACTAAACTAGTTGAGACGCCGAATCAAGACTAGCCTATACATGTCTAAATTATGATATGTCAAGAAAATACTCGGTTCCGTTAGTAATAGCAATAACTTATTAATATTTCTGCAATATCTATAGATGTCAATTGCATTAAATACATTTAAATGTTTAGTCAAAAATATAATTTATTCATATAATCTATTCTTTCACCACCTTATCCCACTAAGTGGGGTCGGCACAGCTAATTTTTCTCTTCTATCAGCCGTCATCTCAACACTCACTCCTCTCTATCTCATACCGTCATTCACACACTCCATTCATGTCTGCTTTGGTCGACCTCTTCCCCCTCTACCTTGCACTACCATTTCCATACATCTTCTAGTCATATGCATATTCTCTCTACGCATCATATGTCCATACCAAGATAACCGTCCGCTCTTTCATTCATATAATATAAACTTTAAAATGACAACCCTATAAAGTGTTGATTTTCAGCGTATCAACTTATTGATGCTCGCAGCCCTAAATTCTTTTTTAATTCAATTTATTAAATAAACATTTACCATCTAAAGGTTTTTACTATAAACACAATTCACTATAATGCATACATCAATTATTGTATTCTATATATTGGGAAATTCGATGAGAACGGTTTTCTTTTTCTCTTATAGTTTCGTTACGGAAATTGTTTGGAGCTGTTGGCAACCGCTCTCGGGGTAGTCTTCGGAATGATAAGTGGAGCCGGCGTGTGCTGCAACCTGCTCCAAATAGGAGAACTGAGCACGGCGTTCGTTGAGAGGACTAAGTATCATGACCGGCTTTCCAGCTACTTGCCGCTGACTGCGACTTTCGGAGGTGGCAAAAGATTGTAAGTTTACTGTGAATAGATTTCTAAAGCAAACGACTTGTTAAGCTGCAGTTGTATCCATCCCGGTGTGTCAAACTCTGTGAGAAAACTCTCCCTTAAAATAACATAAAAGAAATTGTAATCTAGCACACAGCACGAGCAAGTACCAGAAATATTTTATGAGATATTTTTTTATTATATATATATTCAATAATAATAATATGTGTTCTCTATTAGAAAAGTACATTTTTTCTATAAAAATTCCATCCCGAACATCTAGATATTTTTATATGAATCCAATGATATATGTCGGGATATCGTTAAATCTGTTTGTATGCAAATAATGTTCAAGTATTTGATCTTCCTAGATATAAGCATATATTGTTTTATCTGCTCAGATCCAACTATATAGAAACAGAAGCTATACGAGACTCAAACATTTTGTGGTCGAGTTAGAGCTAAAAGTTTTTTTTATCGAGATACAGATATCGCAACATGTAAATGACAAAATTCAAAATATAATATATATATATATATATGCCTTAAGCTTAGGAGATTAAATAAATAATTTAAGATCCTTAGTGCTACGAGTATTTATAAAAGAATCATGTCACAAATTCTTTATCAGACCAATTATTTTTCTTTTTCCAACAGGGTTAACGCTACGCACGAACAAAATATGGAGGCTCTTATCGATGACGCGAAAGCAATGGCCATCGGAATGTTCATCAGTATTGGTGTCTCTCTTGTGTTCTGCGTGCTGTCCTTCAGCCTAATTAGTTGGAGCGCTTTACGCCAGGTTTCATAATATTTAGTGTATACAACCGCTGACGTAACAACGATTATATCTATACTATTATATAAATCTACAGTGGTTTTTACGGATGTTCCGTTATAACTGAACCATGCATCCGATTGACTTCAAACTTGGTATCCATGTAGAAAATACATGTACTTAATGTATAGGCTAATATTTATATGAGTGTTGGACTCCCTAAGAATAATGACAATAAATAATAATGTTAATTTTAAATGCGTAGCGAAACGGGCGAGTGCGGCTAGTAGTACAGATAATATGTTATAGATATACATACGAGTATACTATATTTTCAAAAACCAATCACAAAATCTCTATCGAATAACCAAAAATCATATTTTTAATTGAGTATCTTTCCCTAAGGCTAAAGGGCTAAGGGTAAGGCTAAAAGTGAAATAAAATTAAATATAATAAAACATCATCAATAGGTGAACACGAGAAACGTATCGTGACTGACATAATAAACAAAAAATAATTGATTTCAATTGATGTCCTTACTCTCGTTTGACTTTGTGAGCTTGACGCTTCCAACAAAAATGATAATGTCACCTTGAGATGAAACTGCAATGTTAAATCAAACTCGCTAGTGAGATCAATCGTTATTGAAATTGTAGATATTTAATTTAAAAAGAGGATCGCAATGAGATTTCTATTTGATGGACTGAGGATTGATGAAATTTGATTCCCGGTTGCAATATCTTTGTTAGTTTAACCCTAGTGAACACACTCACTAGACCGTAATAGAGAGCCTTTTGAAAAAAATTGTCAAAGTAGACGTATTAATTGCAAATTGCCGAACCATTTCAGCTTTTTTTACAATAGGTTTTTTCAAATATATTTCAGTATTAGAATGTTGGTTTAATATTTTAAAATGATTTACTAATTTTTCATAAATTTCAAGATAACGAGAATAAGGACGTTGTTCCTGAGGTCTGTACTTCGTCAAGACATGTCTTGGTACGACACTGATTCAGAATTCAACTTAGCGTCGAAGATGTCCGAGTAAGTACTAAAGTTAAATCAATTTGGTGATTACAGTTTTAACGTTATCATAAAAATTTTTGACAGCTTTTACATATTCAGAATCATAGGTCCAAACACAATTTTATAAAATGTAAAATATGAATTAAATTTTTAATTTTTCTTGTATTGCAAAATTGAAATTTACATACAAATATACATCAAAAATATACAAGTTTAGACTAGAAGGCGAAGAACGGCACAGGCACAAGTATGGATTTTTTCTTAACAAGAATGAGTCACACACTGAGCTTCTCGCCGGATCTTCCCTGTGGGTCGCTTTTCCGATCCGGTAGTAGATTCAGCGAAGCACTGCTCTTGCTAGGGCTAGTGTTAGCAATTCTCTCAGGTTGAGCGCTTTTTTTTATGATTGAAGGATTACTGGTGGCCCGGAGGCCTTTCCAGTTTTACCAGGACAGGTGGGCGAGCAAAGGCTCAGCCAGATGGGGTGGGATTTGCTAACAGCTGCCCAAGCGCCTCCGAAGGAGACCTAACAGCTCAAGAGCAGCTGCTTCGCGAATGAATCTACTACCGGATCGGAATCGCGACCCGCTGAAAAGATCCGGCGAGAAAAGCAGTGGGCTGTGTCTATGGGTTAATTTACTCGTCGAGCCCTTGCCGAGGCTCGGCGAGGACAGTGACCGGTGCTTGAGGTCCCTAATTTGAGTGAGTTAGTAAACTCGCTAAAACTGCGTAGACTTTGTAAGATCGAGCCGTTCAAAACAAGTCGTGCTCGCGTTTTGATATCTTCCTTTCGAAATTCGATCGATTGATCGAAATTCGAAGGTTGACAGTTGGCATAACAGTTGACAATTTTTTGATGTCACTGTTTTAATGGAAATATAATAAAATGTACATATTTACAAACACGTTACATATTAATCTAAAGTAAATTCAAAGTGTCGTTCATGGGTTATGTTGCGCATCGAACTCTTTGTCGAATTCGACGAGTACGGCCACCGGGGTCCCTAAGTCTGCTCCTAGTGCTAGAGCTGAAGGCATCTAATGCAAAGGTTATTGGATCTGATGGATCCGTAAGGACGTGTCTAGGGCGTCGACAGTGACTGGCTCCTGCGTGATCAGGATTCGGGGAGTAGTCAGCGGCGGCAACGATAAGGCGATTATCATGACGCATAGCCTTATCGAAGTACCGTTCCGACGCTGACTTCATGTATTTCTGGATTGATTCGAGGCCCAGGTCGTCGTGTAGGTCAACGTTCCTTACGAACCACGGAGGGGTTGAGCCCGTGAGCTCACCTACCGGTCCGCGCGAAGTTGGAATAGCCCCTTAGGATACCAAAATTTAGGAAGGGTAAATAAAAAAAAAGCAACAAAATAAAAAAAAAACATGCTTAACAACAACAGGTAAGCTACCTCTTATAGAGCTTATTAAGCTTAAATTCAGTAACGTAATGAATCTGCTGTTGACATAAATGTTACTCTGCCTAGACAAGCAGTGCAAAGACGAAATTGTTTTCATGTTGTTCTAATTCATTTTATGTTTTAATTGAAAATATTTAATAGACTTATACCTACTAATACTAATTTACTACGTTAATTAATTAGATGGAAAATCAATAACTTTAAATACAGAAGTTCCGCCATGGAAATTATATCATTAACTTTAAGAAAAAAATAGCCAAGATAAAATTGAATGGAATTCATTCTGAGCTTAGCTTATCAATTAGCAGGAAATTTGGTTACAAAGTTTAATCTCATTAATATAGAGAAAATATGCCATAGCCTCGTAAAGATAATAAGATAAGGAAATGTGCGAGATGATTATGACGTACCGTGAGTTTTATTGATACAATAAGCGGTGACATTGAAACCATTTCGGGACTAATAAATGCGTGAGGCAGCCATAATATATTTTTTTCGTTGTAATAATTGTTAAGGATACATATTTTTTATACCATTTTTTTTTTAATTTTAAGTTTTTTATAGTTAAATAATAATGAAAGAATTGTAATTAACTATCTCAATTTAAATTTCGTATAAAATTTATTATTTATAAAAGGTTCTAAGTTGAAAGTTTAAGATATGAGCCTTTTTTTATTTTTGTCTACAATTAAATATTAGTGTTTCGAAGTAAGATTTAGTTGATATATAAACTTAGTTTTAAGTTAATGTTAATAATATTATATCGTTTACTATTTATGCATAATAATGATGTATATCACTTGAGCACCTGTGGAACTATACAAGCTTTTAGAGTAGTTGACTATTTTCATATTACAATTACGTGACACAATTTTTATAAAAAAATTTACATTGATTTGACATACGCATTTATTAACGACCAACGCAAGGTTAAGGTGATGAAATAATAGATATAATAATTATGTATTGTAGATGACATAATTTATTGTCTTTAACACTTTCACTGCGGGACTGGTCCATATCGGCCCACGGGGGTACTTTCAGTTGGTGCGGACGAAGAAAACTATGTCCCTCTCACTGGTGCGGACCAATAATTCAGGTGCTTCTAAGAATTAGATACCGACAACTGTCTATCAATTGCATACAGTATGTTTTCACAAAGTTATAGCATTTTAATCTACCCTAGTGCTAGTGAGTTGAGAAAGACTTGCCACGCACTGGTGGTAATAACGTGGTAATGGGCGCATTTTGACCCGCCGTCACATCAGATGAAGGTTTATTATTTTACTTGACGCAGTCAAGGTGTTAATAAATTTAATCTAGATTGTTATAGAACGAGCTTTTGTCGCAGAAACTTGATGAGCATTAAGGAAGGTATGGGCGAGAAGTTGGCGGTTGTATCGAATTTGGTGGGGACTTCCGTGATTTGTCTGTGCACCGCATTCCCCCTCGGTTGGCAGTTGACTCTGGCCTGCGCAGCCGTGATGCCCTTCTCCGTGATCACTTCTATTGCCTTATCGAATGTAAGTTGTAATTAATAATGTTATTTTAACACGTTGACTGTTATGGGTCACCGGTGCCCTAAGCGCTGCACTGAAGTAACTATGTCGATTTCTCTCTTCGTTCTTTCTTAATAAGGCGCCGGAATATCTAGCATTTTTTTTTATTGCTTAGATGGGTGAACGAGCTCACAGCCCACCTGATGTTAAGTGGTTACTGGAGCCCATAGACAACTACAACGTAAATGCGCCAACCACCTTGAGATATAAGGTTTAAGGTCTCAGTATAGTTAAAACGGCTGCCCCACCCTTCAAACCGAAACGCATTACTGCTTCACGGCGAAAATAGGCGGGGTGGTTGTACCTACCCGTGCAGACTCACAAGAGGTCCTACCACCAGTAAAAAGACAGCAACACTCTAGGAAAGACGAATCCCAAGATACTCAGAATGAATCTATTTCTAAGAGACTTAAAAGAATAAAACATACATTCGCAAACAAAAGTAGGTAAAATTAGGCAATGCGGGCGCTTAGTAAAGAAATCGACATAATTACTTCAGGGCGCCGCGTAGGGCACCGGGGACCTACATGGCAGTGATGGCGTTAATTTTATTCGATAAAATTTTGCAATAGCACATCTGGTGCACGCATGACTTAACACTAAGTAGGCCGTGGCTATCAGTGACTATGTAGTGTGTTGTGGTTATAAGAGTCAATGGACATCACAAAATGAATGTCGACATTCGCCTTGAGACCTGAGGCCTATGTTTCAATTGTACCATATAACATGACAGCTTCACGGTAGAAATGGTCATGCCCCTCTCCCCTCCTGCTGGCATACAATACGCCTTCAACTTCAAAGAAACTATTGTAATATCCACTGTTTTCTTGAAATATAGTATTTGATTTAAAAAAAATCTTATACGTCTATATAATTATCACAAACAGCACATTTGATGAATCATAAAATATTCTGACTGCTTCCTGTGCTGGCCGCTTTTCCAGTATGCATTCATTTGCGGTTCTCTGCTAAAAATAAATAAAACTTCAACTTCATTGTTTAATAAAATAAATAATGAATAATTAAATATATTTATTTTTATTTTCGATTTGAAAGTACCAAACAAAATCTTCGATAAGAGAAATGGAGTCATACAGTTTGGCCGGCAAGCAAGCTGAAGAAATTCTCAAGTCAGTACGAACAATCGTCGCCTTCGGAGGGGAAAATAAGGAAGTAGAACGGTACATACGTCCGTATATCTTTTAAAGTACATATTACATTAAATCTACATAATATTTTTTGTATGTTCTGTATATAATTATTATTTTTATTGGTCTAAATGGGCCTACTAGCATTAGGTCAACTGGTAACGGAGTTCATAGACATTAAGACGTAAATTCTGAAGCAAATCTCATGAAAAGCGGTTATACATATTATATAGCAGATGCCCTTATCTTTAATATATTCTTCTTGTATTATTTATAAAGGTACCGACGTCTGCTTGAGCCGGCTGAAGAATTTGGTCGAAAACGTGGTCTCTTCACGGGATTAGGCAACGGCTTCAACTGGGTCCTTACATATTCTCTGAATGCTATCGGCTTTTCGTACGGGACAAGGCTAGTTGTCAATGATTTCGATACTGATTCTAATTTGAGGCAATATCCTGTTGGCGCTGTGTATAGTGTGAGTTCATATATGTTTTTGAATACTTCAGTTTATTTTTACAATAGATGAAATTGTGTTCACTGAGATTTGTGTGAAGGCGACTAAGGATGATGAGTTTATATTATCTATATATGTAATATAAGCCATATAGGCCTGGAACTCACTCGTGTGCATTTCATAAATAAGTGTTTCATTAGAAAAATTGGTACCTGTGGGACGGAAGACTGGCACAGTTGCATCGCTCGATACGAACGCATAGGGCGTCTCTTATCCTTTAGGCTACGACGACTTCGGATGGAGGATATTCTAAGTCCACACGAGTTGTTATTCTACCTGTTCCTGATGCAAAGTAGTCATGCATTCCAGTTTGTAGGATAGAATGGTTGATATATAAAACGATAGAGACCCTGCGCCTTGAGGTGGTGGTATTCATGTCATATCATTTTCATTTGTTCTTTTTGCAATTTGATAATGCCTAAACAATTTTCTTAATGTTTGTAATTATTACTTTTTTATTATCCTTGTGGACAGCCGAGCATACGGCCCACCTGATGATGAGCGGTTACTGTCGCTTATTGACGTCCGTAATGTCAGGGGCAGAGCCAAACTACTGCCTACCGTTATCTTATAAAAGAAAGAAAGATTGACATAAAACCACAATTCGCTCCACGACCAGTAGTAATCAATTAATCGCTCCTCTTTCAACGATCAAATAATTGAAGTTGCGTACAGAAATATATAGGGTAATACTATCAAACTGTATTAGCTTCTTGTTGTTCTGCAAAGACAATTCCGTTATAGTATTTTAATAATATTCGTTAAATATTGTACATAAAAGAAGCAAAGACGATTGATGTTATTATTTTTATTGTATTTCCTAGAGGATTTATTGATTGTTTACTTTATATAATTTACGCTTAATAAAATACTGAACAGCTCCAATACTTTTGTAGATACTATTCTCTGTATATATGGCAACACAGTCTATTACATTCTGTGTCCCACACTTGGAGGGCTTCGCCGCGGCCCGTGGTGCGGCCGCAAGCATTTTCCACTTGATTGAAAGAGAACCAAAGATCGACAGTCTACAGCAAAAAGGTTTAACGCCTCGTCGAGTTGTTGGAGACATTTTACTTGAGGATGTTGAATTCTGTTATCCGTCGCGACCTGAAGTCAAGGTATGATATTGTAATTGTTCCATTATTTGTTTTAACTGTATCTTATCTATAACTGTATTTGCATGTAACTGTATATTTTAACTATATACAATTTGGCCACACATTAATTTTCGACATCAAAGCACAAAGTCGAATCTATTTTTTAAAAAACAAAGTTCATACGGATCTGTGTGTATTATATAATATCTATAATAAATGATATTTCAATCAGTTAAAATTTTAGATATTGTAATTTGGATCATTATGAAATGGTATTGTAAAATGTTATCATGATACATATAGCCTTAATGTCACAGGTTCTCAAAGGTTTTTCGATCCACGTAAAGCCGGGCGAATGCGTAGCTCTAGTGGGCTCCTCTGGTTGCGGTAAAAGTACTGTATTACAACTTTTACAAAGACTGTACGACCCACAAGCCGGTTCAGTTAAGCTGGATGGTAAAAATTTGAAAAACCTCAATCTAAGCTGGCTGAGGTCATCTTTGGGTGGGTATTGAGAGTCCTTAATTTCAACCTTACGTTTTAAACTTACGAAAATAGATATTTACATAAAGTTTTTAATATCGTACACGTATCGTTGAAGCGATTAAAAATCAGGTTGATCTTTAGGACGTCTACTGTCTAGGATATGTAAACGCGTTCTTAACACTTCTTGTTCATGAAGAAATGATAAGACTTCGACTTTGAATCATATCCGATCCTGTGGACCGAATGGTAAACAGTCGACATCGCCCTAAGCATGTAATTACCGCTCCTCCCGATCCATTAGCGGTGCCTTTAGATACCTCAAGCACAGGTCATCGTCCTCGCCGAACCCGTCGCTTGCAACGAAGGACTCGACGAGTAAATTAACCTACAGACATAGCCCACTGAGTTTCTCGCCGGACCTTCTCAGTGAGTCGCTTTCCGATCCGGTGGTAGATTCTGCGAAGCACTGCTCTTGCTAGGGCCAGTGTTAGCAACACTTCCGGTTTAAGACCCGTGAGCTCACCTACAAGATAAGGAGAAGCTGAAATAGCGTCTCAAGACAATCAGCATAGATAGGAAAAATATAAGAAAAAAAGACTGAAGGAATGATACCGTGTAATAAGCAGCAAAATTTTGTAGTGAGTGTGAGTGTACGGCCCGCCTGATGGTGAGTGGTTACCGTCGCCCATGGTACTTCAGCAATTCCAGGGGCAGAGCCAAGCCGCTGCCTACCGTTTAACGACAAAGGACCATTTTGTATGCGTTTATACTTGGAATATCACAAATTTCAGGTGTGGTAGGTCAAGAACCAGTGCTGTTTCGAGGGACGATCTACGACAACATCGCCATCGGAAGTCCAGAGGCCACACGCGAAGAAATCCAAAGAGTCGCTGAGATTGCTTACGCCCATGACTTTATTAGTCTTCTACCAAATGTAATTATTATATCAAAGTGTCTAGGAAGCGCGGTCCCTAAAGTGGCAGGCAAGATACAGTTATACTAAAGTACTAGCTGTACCCGACCGCTTCGCTGGGCATTTAAAATTAACCTTATTATTTCTCACCCCCACAAACATTCTCATCATTAACGCCCCCGCAACTGGTCGCAGGGAGTCCAACACTCATAAATATTAGCCTATACATTAAGTACATGTATTTTCTACATGGATACCAAGTTTCAAGTCAGTCGGATGCATGGTTCAGTAGTTATAACGGAACATCCGTAAAACCACTGTAGATTTATATATTAGTATAGATACGAATGTCAATGTTTATTTACTAATTCGGGCTATTTACTACATATTAATATATATATATATAATATATATATATATATATATATATTATTTACTAATCATTTGTCTTTGAGTCTGTAACCCTGCGCCAGTTGATTTCTAATTTTGCTAAGACACATCGCAGTACAGAAACATTAGTAAAATATGTTTTTTTTAAATATGATTGTTTTAAGATTGTCTAATTGGAAATTACGTTTTCGGGAACCGTTTCAATACGCTATGTATTTAAGTGAAATTTAATATGGTTAAATGATAAATAGATATTCGTGTATCATGCTACAGCGTATACTGCTACAAATCTTAAATACGTACAATCAATCCGTAAGAGATATACCGATTTCTATTTTAGATACTTTTTTATATATAAAAGTAACATTTTTATTTTATTTTTATTGCTTAGCTGGGTGGACGAGCTCACAGCCCACCTGGTGTTAAGTGGTTACTGGAGCCCATAGACATCTATAACGTAAATGCCACCCCCACCTTGAGATATGAGTTCTAAGGTCTCAGTATAGTTACAACGGCTCCCCACCCTTCAAGCCGTAACGCATTACTGCTTCACGGCAGAAATAGGCGGGGTGGTGGTATCTACCTGTGGGGGCGCACAAGAGGTCCTACCACCAGTAAGAAACTTCACCTTCACATGTCATCTCTTTTTTGTCACCTCCAAACGTTTATCATCAGGGAACTTTATTTCCTTAGGGCTACGATACTGTGATAGGAGAACGAGGCGCTTCTCTTTCTGGTGGTCAGAAGCAACGAATTGCAATTGCCCGGTCTCTCTTACGTGAACCGGCGGTGCTACTGCTTGACGAGGCTACTTCAGCCCTTGACCCTCACTCTGAGAGACAAGTACAAGCAGCGCTCGATCGTGCCAGTGTCGGACGCACTACCATAACCGTGTCACATAGGTATGCATCTAAAATCTTGTTTTTTCAAGTATTAAATATAGCATTAAATCAGAAATTTATATTTTTTTTTAATTAATTTATAATTAAATTTATAATTAATTGAATTCAACAATTTCAATTTAAAAAGTGTTATAAGGTGTGTGTGTCTGTGTGGTGTGTGTGTGTGTGGTGTGTGTGTGTGTGTGTGCCTGTGTGTGTGTATGTGTGTGTGTGCCTGTGTGTGTGCCTGTGTGTGTGCCTGTGTGTGTTGTGTAGTAGTGTAATAAAAAAACCAAATTTCAATTAAAAAGTTTAATAGGGCAATAATTTAAGTCAAAACCAAGAAATAAAAAGAATTTTGGATTTATGTCCAGATTGTCGACCATAGTGAACGCCGATAGAATTATTTGCATGGACCAAGGAGTTATAGTCGAACAAGGAACGCACGAGGATCTCATGAAAGCCAAAGGTGATTTTTTTAAGTTAATAACTAGTACTATAAATTTACATTGCGAATATCAATTTAGGTTACAATACAATAGTACAGATTGGTTTTTTAAAAAATTGTCCTTTTTATTTGGCCATTTTTAATTCACAATCTTCTGGAACATTTAAATATTTTACATAATTAAATAATAGCTTCATGACGTAAAGCACTAAAGCACAAGAATTACTTCTGAGTGTTCTTATCACAATACATACAGGGTTTTACCATAAACTGGTGACAACTGGTAACGAGAACAAAGAACCAGCAGATATAGAGCCCCTTATTGAGGAAGCTGACGGTGATGGAGACAACACAGAACCAACCGTACCTTCAAGATTAGACGTCAGACGACGATCAAGCAAGAAAGTGCTGAGACATCATTCTATTAAAAAAGGTAATTTACAATTGAGTGAAATTCTTGATTAGTTCCGTAGTCACGTTGGTCGTTAGCAGTAAGTTAAGGTAATAAGCCTGATTTGATGATTATGGCTATCTCTTAGTTTTTGGTGGTCCATAAAAATTATTACCATAATTATTTCATCAGTAAAAGTTAGCCTAAAGAATTTCTGGTTCGCTGGGTCTTCTCAGTGGGTCCCGATTCCGATTCTCTGGTAGATTCATCGAAGCACTGCTCTTGCTAGGGCTAATGGTAGCAAATTCTCTCAGGTTGTGCCCGTGAGCTTATCTACCCGTCCGCGAAAAGTTGGAATAGCCCCTTTGGCTACCAGTGAATAACTACCTACGAAAAAAAATTTAAATATCAGTTACTTGTTAAACCCGGACCTCTTTTACATCATTCTGAAGATTACGTGAAAATTTCATCGAAATCGGTCCAGTCGTTTCAGAGCACGGAATAGATAAATAAGATAAATAACCTTATCTATTCCGTTTTTCAGAGTCTATATGGAACCTAAATACATGCATTCGTTTTTACATAATTATAAACTATACTGTATAGAAAAATGTTATTAAGGATTTCACTTTCAAAAGTCGTCGTGGCCTAAAGGATAAGACGTCCGGTGCATTCGTGTTGAAGCGATGCACCGGTGTTCGAATCCCGCAGGCGGGTACCAATTTTTCTAATGAAATACGTACTCAACAAATGTTCACGATTGACTTCCACGGTGAAGGAATAACATCGTGTAATAAAAACCAAACCCGCAAAATTATAATGTGCGTAATCACTGGTGGTAGGACCTCTTGTGAGTCCGCACGGGTAGGTACCACCACCCCGCCTATTTCCGCCGTGAAGCAGTAATGCGTTTCGGTTCGAAGGGTGGGGTAGCCGTTATAACTATACTGAGACCTTAGAACTTATATCTCGAGGTGGGTGGCGCATTTACGTTGTAGATGTCTATGGGCTCCAGTAACCACTTAACACCAGGTGGGCTGTGAGCTCGTCCATCCATCTAAACAATAAATAAAAAAAAACTTGATCTCTAAATATAGATTTTATTTTCTAACCGACATGAACTCAACAAGACTACTGTGATGGTGATACTCAGAGACTGCGCTCTTCAATTACTAATAATTGCTTAATTATGAAGCGTTCGCGGTTTACTAGGCGAGATGGAATACTCTTAGTCTAAAAGAATAATCATTGTTACTTATTTATGTACTTGTCGACTGGTATTTTGTGAAAATCAATTTTTAACTAGCCTTTTCTCGTGAATTTAGATCACCCGGACTGGTTGACACCTCGCGGCTCGATTTCTTCAATGGTATCGATTGGACTGCAAAATTTCGTATTTAATAGTGATCTCGAATCTGAGGAAGATGAAGACGAAGAAGAGGTAAGGTCTTTAGAAATTTATATATATGTCTATAATTTTTTAAACGATCGTGACTCATTTTTTGTTGTTACATGCAGACTGTAAAAACTGTCAGTGATTGGCAACTACTGAAACTTAATGCCCCTGAATGGCCATTGATAACAGTTGGCTCTATTGCTGCTTTTCTACAAGGAGCATGCTTCCCTGTTTTCGCCTTACTTTTTGGATTTTCCAGCGGGGTAAGGTTTTCAAATAAATTTGTCACATTAACAATTTTTTTGGGACTTCTACTAAGAGCATTTGAAAAATATTTAGACGTAAGTATGATACTGACATCATTGCGGTTTTTTTTGCCTTTTTAGATCTTCATACTAGATAATCGCGATGATATCATTTATTTAGCAGATCTTTATTCTGTGTTATTCGTGGTAATAGCCGCGGTTGCTGGCATATCCATGTGTCTACAAAGTACAACCTTTACAAGTGCTGGCTTGAAAATGACAACTCGACTAAGACATCAATATTTTGCATCTTTGTTGAAACAGGTAAATAGTATTTTGTTGTTTTTAACACTTTGTCTTGTTTCAACTATATTAGAGAACTTTTCGATCGTACACTGCCTACTAAGTACGCAGTGTACATCAAATACTTTTGATGATATATAAAAGTAATCAAATTATAAAAATTAAAATTAAAATACAGGAAATAGGGTTTTTCGATAAAGAAACGAATACGGTCGGCGCGATCTGTGCGAGATTGAGCGGTGACACAGCTGAGGTACAGGGTGCCACTGGACTCAGGATAGGCCTCATACTGCAGGGTATCAGCTCAGTGGTCGTCGGGTTTTTGTTAGCTATCAGCTACAACTGGAAACTTACCTTAGTTGCGACAGTTTTTCTTCCTTTGGTAAGTATAACAATATTACAATATTATTTCTCATTATTTTTATTTCTAATACTACTATTATTTTTCAACAACAGAGGCATAGAAAAGAGTATCGATAATTTGAACTTTTGAAATTGATTATTTCAAATTCTAATCGTTTCTAATAATTTTGTTTTATTAGTTATAGATCACCGTCAATTATATCATTAGATTCCTGATTTACTTTTTTCAAAACACGAGATTACATTAAATCTATGTATGTAGTCATTTTAAAAAGGGCTTCTCTCTAAATCGATGTCCTGAATTTTTTATTGTGGGGTTGCGATCTGCATAAATACTAAATTAATATTTAGTTGTTAGTAATTTGTTATTGTAACATGTAACGTGCATTGGAACGTATATATACTTATATACTATAGAAACTGCTAAAAAATATTATGGGTAATAGGAGCGTTCTACAACTTTACTTGTTAAAATTTTAAATAAAAAATGAGATATTTCTTTTAGATGGTTGGTAGCATATGGTTAGAAGGTATTATATCTCAGAAGGCGCAAATAGATGAACGAAATGCAATGGAATCAGCCACTGCCATAGCTACTGAAGCCGTTGTCAGCATCAAGACAGTGCAGAGCTTAGGTGAAAGTTTCCGAAAACTACTTGATACATTATTATTATTTTATTTATTAAATAGAAGGTTAACGAACTCACGGCCCATCTGGTGTTAATTGGTTATTAGAGCCCATAGACATTAACAATATTATTGTCACCTCCTGCCTTGAGGCGTGAGGCCTGGGTCTCAAATGTATAGTGCAGCGTACCACTCTTGAAACCGGAAGTGGGTAGCTTGATGGTACCCTACCTAGTTAGACATTACGATATCTACAAAATCTCATCGCAAATTCGGATGTTTAAGACCTTTATTTCAGTATTTTTATTTTATATAGTATGGAGGGATTTAATTAAGAAATTTAGCAAAATTTTCCAAAGTTTAGCGGATATATACGATTGTAGTATATCAAGAATACTGGCAATATATATTATATAATAATATATACACTTTTGCAATAACAATAAAAATGTTCTGTTACAAGACCGTCTGATTCCTAACTCAACTTCCATCACTTTTCTCGAATAGCATCAACACTCATAATCCTTTATTAGAGAGCAATCCCCGCCTACCCAGTCAGTCCTATTCTTAATTTCACGAGGTACGGTTGCCGTTATTGTCGTTAATTCTTTGTATTTCTATTATCAAATTATTTTTTTAAATCTCCTCTCTCAATTCCATATAACAGTCCGAAAACTAGGAAATTATAAAAATGAGAATAATATACGCGAGATTAAATAAAAGATTAATTAAAGGTCTTAAAACAAAGATTTTAGGATCTACAATTGGGGATTAAGAATAATTTTAATTATCTACGACTCGAAAATGATCCGCAAAGTTTGTCTGGTGGGACCCTTTTTTCCTGTTAATATATTTATTTTCATATTTTACGTGTTTAAAAATTTATACATTTAACGGGCTTCCAAAAAAGAAGGAACTTCAAAATTTGGCTGTATTTTTATGTTTATTAACCTTAAAACTTTTCTCTAAGTGAACTGATTTGATAATTTATTTTTTATGTGAAAGAGGATGCTTCTCATGTTGACTCATTTAAATTTTATCAAGATCTGACCTAGTCTACTAAACGATACATATTCAATTGGTTTCGACTAAATGGATAATATTTTCTCAATTTAATTTTTTTAGGTCGATTTCCTTCTTTTTTTAACATATTTTATTATATTTAAATGATCTTTAAATAGAAATGGTTTATTTGTAATTAGGAGCGAAACATGTACCGAACATAATATTATTTTTAACAGCAAATTCGTGGTTCCGTACTCTAAGCCCATCCTTTCCTTTTATTAGGTGTGGAGACGGTTTTCCTTCAAAAATTTCAAGATGCACTCAAGACTGCCTGTGTAGCTGTGGCTTATAAAACGCGTTGGAGAGGATTAGTCTACGGTCTTGGAGTTTACATACCGTTCATGGCGTACTGTAGCGCTACTGTTTACGGCGCCGTGCTCGTCGCCTATGGAGAAATGGAATATAAACTAGTGTTGCTGTAAGTTAAAAAGTAAAATGGCTTATGTGAAAAACGTTATCAATAATAACTTGTTTCTCGTTTTTCGTCGTGTAATTTTACGTTTTTTTATTGTCCTCAAATGCGACCACGGATACTGTAAGGAATTCGAAACGCTGTAAATATGTAGTATAATATATAGTATAGACAATAAAAAAAAACATTCGAAATTAAGTCATAAAAGTAGTTAATTGTATCTACGACTCGTGAAAACCGAAGCAAATACGTCACATTACCACTACGAATAAATAATAAGTCCATTACCAACGTTCATATCAGAAAACAATTGTTCTAATATCGTTTTTGTAGTGTTGTGTCCTATATTCAATATTGAAGAATAGCGCGTTTGCAATTTTTTTTTAAGTTGTTATGCCCTGTCACTACCATTTTAAATCAAATCATAAATTTTATAATTTAAGACTTTAATCAATTGGGACGAAATTAAATAAAACGGCTTGACATGGGATTAAATAAAGTCTCAGTAAAATCGTGGTTATTTACTGATGCTGTTTCAGTGGACTTTTTCGAAGAACCGAGAAGATACGTCCAGCGGCTTTGTTTCATTTTTCCCATTTGTGCACTTTCAGGCATGTTAAACAGTTAATAAGCCACGTTTAGGTATTACACATTTAACTTGAAAAATTACTAAATGAATAAAATCAAATAATTCACACAACTTCATTCCTCACGTTCCCACCAAAATGTCCGTTTGCAGTTTGCATTATATAATAAATAAAAAAATAACAGGGTAAACGAAGCTATAATGTACGGAGCCTACATGTTAGGCCAGTCGCTGGTGTATGCTCCCAGTTTGAATACGGCAAAGGCGTGTGGAGCAAGGATTCTGTCCATCATTCAAAGGCAACCTAAAATTCACAACGCAGTTGGAGTGAAAGACAAAAAAGATTGGGTAAGTACACAAAACAGGATTTATCAATTTGTCTTGGTCAATTTACACAAACACATTTTATTTAATAGAATCAGGATGTAGTTTTTTTGCCTACCTATTGCTCGTCAGGCGCATAACATCTGCCCACAGCAATGATGCTGAATGACGACCACGACCGCTCTGACAAGAGTGATACGACAAAGGAGATTGCTAGTAACCTCGAGGAGATATGCTAACTTCACCGCATGTGTAGGCGAGCTCATGGGGTTCAGACTTTGAGAGAGACTTTGGTAACATCAGGATCTAGTAGATAATGGGGCTTATCATAAATCTGAAATCTGGTAAGAAATATCACAGGTTTTTTCAACTATTATGATTTATTTAATATACATATATTTTATAGAACAGGTCACGACTGGGGTGTGTGGAGACCATAGATCCAAGAAGTGCAAACAGCTATCGGTCTTGAGATATAAAATTGAAGCCCTAATTGCATTGGTGAATGGCTGTCTCTTACAAAGCGAAACACATGATTGTTTTTCTGTAAAAATTAGAGTAATAGTAATTATCTAGAACGTTTTTACTTTAAAATATGACACTAGAGAGAAGTGCATATAACATTCGAAGGATATTATTTCGAGATATCCAACTGCTATAAGATTTGTGATATGTATACCAGGTGGCGTCTGGAAACTTCAGCATGCGTGATGTAGAATTCTGTTACCCTACAAGGCCAAGTCAACGTGTTTTGAAAGGAATCGATCTGAAAATGGAAGCTGGTAAAACCATCGCTCTCGTCGGGTCCTCCGGATGTGGCAAGTCTACAATCCTCCAGCTATTTCAACGTTTCTATGACCCTGATTCTGGTTTTATTGTTAGTAATCATATTTTTGTCGAATAATTTTCACATTCTAGATTTTTTTTTTAATTTACGATCATTCAATAACCGTTTCTGATGTAGGAATTAGACAATCGTGACATTAGATCTGCTCTGACTATACCACGGTTGCGTCGTCAGTTAGGAGTCGTGCAGCAAGAGCCGGTGCTCTTGGACAGAAGCCTGGCCGAGAATATCGCGTATGGAGATAACAATAGGAAGGTCACTATGCACGAAATCGTCGCCGCTGCCAAAGCAGCAAACATACACTCATTCATCGTGTCTTTACCCAAGGTCGGTTCATTAGCATAACAAGGTGAGTTGAATTTTGAGAAAACGAGTCTAAATACAGGTTGATTTCAGGGTTATGAAACGAATTTGGGTGCGAACGGTGCTCAGCTGTCAGGAGGTCAAAAACAGCGGGTCTGTATAGCGAGGGCACTTATCAGGTCGCCACGCTTGTTACTGCTAGATGAAGCTACATCAGCATTGGATGCTAGCAGTGAACGGGTAACATAAAAATATCTAATTAAATAGAATGTTTTTTTTATTGCTGAGATGTGTGGACGAGCTCACATCCCACCTGCTGTTAAGTGGTTACTGGAGTCCATAGACATCTATAACGTAAATGCCGCCACTCACCTTGAGAAATACGTTCTAAGGTCTCAGTATAGTTACAACGGCTGCCCCATTCTTCAAACCGAAACGCATTACTTCGCTTCAGAAATAATCAGGGAGTGGTATCTACCCGTGCGGAGTCACAAGAGGTCCTACCACCAGTAAAATAATAATATAGTGCAATACAGGTGCGCGTGTGTGCGTGTACGGGCGCGCGTGTGTGTATCTGTTTTTTGTGTAGCTTATAGCATTCGGAGGATTTTCCTGGATGCGAAAAGAGCATACCGGAGTTTGAATTTCTTGCATGCTGACCGTTTCTTATCTGTTTATTGTATTCGTGAACTTAAATCATTCATATCAATGATTTAATAAAGCTAGTGAATATCTTAAAGAATAGGACTAGTGTCATTAATAAAATAACTATCGATTTCTAAATAATGTATTAGAATACTACTGTGACCATAATTTAGGCCGTGACAGAAGCTTTGGAGAAGGCTGCCAAGGGCCGCACTTGCATCACTATTGCTCACCGCCTCTCTACAGTTAAAGACGCTGACTTGATCTGCGTTATTGATAAAGGTACACAATCTAGTTTTATTTTAAAAATAACAATGAAATCACATAAATCCTTTTATTATGTGTCGATATTTACATTTTTAGGAATAAAAATTGACTACTTCGACGAAAAAAATGCAACTACAAATCCCATAAACAAAACAAAAAAACAAGAAAATCGATAAGCAAACAGGATTCGTAATAATAGTATTTAACTGTTTTGTCTTTGTCTATAGATATCATTTTTAATCTATATATTAATACGTGAAGCAAAAACTTTGTATCCCTTTTTACGAAAATTGCGAGGACGGAGGAGTATAAAATTTTCCACACTTGTAGAGAATATAGAGAATAAGTGCACAATGCTAATATTTTTTTAAAATAATGCATAGAAGATACATTAAATCAATAAAGAAAACATTACACACACTACATACCATGTATTTGACGCACACACGCATGCATACTATTTATTGTCAAACTTTTGTTCTTGACGTCTGTTGTCAAATTGAGATTAAATATTATTTGTCTTTGTTAATATTTTTTATAGTGTACTTTGGCGAAATTTGTAATTATAGAAGTTTATAATATAATCATAATAGTGTACAAACTTACAATTCCAATTAATTATAGTCGAATTTCGACTACTGCGGGACCTCTAGCTTATAAAATTTTACTAAAAATTTTTTGCTGTATTGCTAAATAAACGGACAAATAACTATAATAGCTATGTGCTATTTATTTGTGGAATCCTTATCTGGTCCGTAAATTAATGATAATGGTATTTTTTCAGGTAAAATCGTTGAGCGTGGAACTCATGCTGAATTGGTCAGCATGAAGGGACATTACTGGCGCATGTGTAGAGGCCAAAATATGGCTTAATTATTTTTCCCATAATGCCTTTTATACTCGTGTTTTCCTGTTTCTGTTTTCCTATTTTGAGATACTCATATTTTAAGATTATAAGATTTTTTTTGTGCCATGCAAACTTTTTTTTAATGCATAATACTCTATAAGATTTTACTGCTCTAAACTCAAGTAATCTAGTTTATCTAGTAATTAATTAATGCTTAGCTAGTGTATAATTAGAGGAATAAAGTTATCATTTGTTTTTTTCATGTGTTTTATTGGTACTTTTGTAATAAGACTTAAAATTTTTAGCACAAACATAGCTGTGATACAATTTCTTTGTATCAAGTACTAATTGTTAATCAGTGTTAAAATAATCGGATTTCGATTTATAGCAGTTTCAGTAGGCAGTTTAAGTAGGTAGTTTTGCGGTAGGCAGCGGCTTGGCTCTGCCCCTGGCATTGCTGAAGTCCATGGGCGACGGTAACCACTCACCATCAGGTGAGCCGTGTGCTCGTCTGCCTAAAAGAGCAATAAAAAACAAAAAAAGTGGAATGGGCATAATGACGTGAAATTCGACACCCACTTTGAGTCATCTGGTCGAAGTTTCATAATATATTTCTTACAACTCTTTTCTATTCTTCACACGGCATTCACGAGGCATGGTAACGGCTGCGACCGAGAGAAATGTCCAAGATTCTTGTAATAGATTAAATAAATAAAAATCTGTATATTTTCTACACGCTCTTTTCTCTATTGACAGAAAGATACATTAATTGTGCCATATGTCCTACTAGAACTATCGATGTACGGGGACAGAAATGACCTTGAATGAGCCGTATGCTGTTCATCTACCATTGATTAAAGTCCAATGTGGAAATATTCTGTAGATATACGACGGAAAATATTAATAATAATAGCACAAATATACATTACAATTATTACACAGAATTTGGTAATAAAAGTAGGTATTTGAAGGGTAATGTACCAAAACATAGTTTGACTATACGAAGCTGTCTGTAATAGTTAAAATAAAATCAGTATCGCTCATTTCATTGTTAAAAGTAAGGTTGAATGAAAATTCAGGAAAGTAACTAAAACGCTCAAGTGGTACTAAATACAAATAAGTTATACAATCAAGTCATAATCAGTTTTGAGATAAGGTAAGATCAGAACATTACACATGCGTATATAAAGTAATCCGTAAAATACGCTGCTTTCAGTAATTATTGTAAGAACACAAACAGTTATGTGCTGTTGATAACGAATTTAAACCAGCTCTGCTATTAGTATACCAGACACTGCGAGAGACACACGTCAACCCTAGAAAATATAAAATGGGGGTCAAAAAAGAAAAAGAAATGTAAGTTTTTGGTTATCAAGCAATCGATTGCGTTTTAATCAAGAAGCCTTACTGGCTATTTCTTAAGAAATTGTTTATTGACTATGCTTCGACTTATAATTATAATTTTTTTTATTACATATTGGGCGTATACATTGTATAATTTATTTTGTTTTATTTTATTTTATTCTGTTAGAATGCAAACAATTTGGAAATATAAGGTGCGCAAATTAAATACATGTTAAATGTTACAAAACATCTAATTTTTAGGGGTTTTCTATTACGAAAGAAAAACTTTCATATTGATGATTTGAAAATAGTATTAGGAACACGTTGAAGAAAAGTATTTCGTAATGTTAAGCATCTATAAAAGAAAACATTTCTTATCATCTTTTTTCTCTTAAGCAATGCGTTAAATTTTAAAATATTGGTTTTTACCGAGACTAGAACACAATCTGCAACAAACAAGGCTCCGTGAGCTAAATATAAAATTTTATTCGTATCACACTGACTGAATAATTGATATTCAAGAAAAGGCTACATTCATTATTATAGCATTTATAGAAGTTTTCCAATCGTTTTCAATTCGACATTGTTATTGAAAATTGAACGGAACCCTTCCCTTTAATTTTCTTTTTGAACACTTTGAATTACGCAATGGTTTTGACTATTCCGTTTTGTTTTTGCAGCACGTACTTTAGCCAATTAATGCCAGGCGAAATATTTGTTTGCCGGCTATTTTTTCTATTATAATAGTGTTATGTTTTCAAAGTATTTATTAGTATTATTTATAACGCAAATAGTGATGTCCTTGAGACATTTTATTTATTGCAACAACGTTCTGATATGTGTGTTTGTCGATATGTTTATTTAAGAAAAATATTACAAGTGTTTGCTACGAGTGTTTTTGTTTCTTTTTTATAGAAAACTCGAAGAAAATATCGATGAATCTTCACTTTCTTTCTTTCAAATAGTGAGTATTCTTAATTTTTACTATGAAGTCGTTTATTTGAAGTGGTCGTGGCCAAGACTAATAAGATACGATAAGACGTTCGATGCATTCGTATCTTGCGGTGCACTGGTGTTCGAATTCCGCAGGCAAGTACCAATTTTTCTAATGAAATACGTACGCTTTACTGGTGGTAGGACCTCTTGTGAGTCCGCACGGGTAGGTACCACCACCCTACCTATTTCTGCCGTGAAGCAGTAATACGTTTCGGTTCGAAGGGTGGAGCAGCCGTTGTAACTATACCTGTATGTCTCAAGGTGGGTGGCTTATTTACGTTGTAGATGTCTATGGGCTCCAGTAACCACTTAACACCAGGTGGGCTGTGAGCTCGTCCACCCATCTAAGCAATAAAAAAGAAGTATGTAATAATTTACCAGTGTTTACGGTTGGTAATTCTTATAGTTACAATGATTACCTTCGATTTTCATAGTAGGATCGTGAATTTTTTCAATGATATTAAAATTGATTTTAAGTTACCGATGCGATCTTTTTTTTTTTTTTTGTGATTGAAAGTTTACTGGTGGCCCGAAAGCCTTTCCAGTTTCACCAGGACAGGTGGGCGAGCAAAGGCTCAGCCAAGAGGGGTGGGATTTGCTAACAACTGCCCGAGCGCCTCCGAAGGAGACCTAACAACTCAAGAGCAATTGTTTCGCGAATGAATCTACTACCGGATCGGAATCGCGACCCGCTGAGAAGATCCGGCGAGAAACTCAGCGGGCTGATGCATGGGTTAGGTTGCACGTCGACCTCTTTGTCGAGTTCGACGAGTACGGTTACCGGGGTCCCTAAGCCTGCCCCTAGTATTAGAGCTGAAGGCATCTAATGCAAAGGTTATTGGATCTGATGGATCCGTAAGGACGTGTCTAGGGCGTCGACGGTGACTGGCTCCTGCATGATCAGGATTCGGGGAGTAGTCAGCGGCGGCAACGATA